GAAGCTAGAGAGGGTCCAGCGGCAGGACATCAAGTGGACAAAGGTCTAGAGCACAGCACCAGTGAGGAGATGCTGAGGGAGCAAGGCTTTAGTCAGGCAAAGAGGCTAAGGGGTGATCTAATAACAGCTTAAATCTACCTGAAGAGCAATTACAAAGATGACAGAGCCAATCTCTTCTTGGTAGTGCCAAATGATAGCTCTGTAAGAGTTTTAAAAGCAGCTATTATCCTTTCCAAAGCATTTTTATGAAGAGTTATCTTTATTAAATCAAGCTGGAAATCCAGTCAATCCATTTTAACTTTCTGCACTTTTCCCACTGGGACAACCAGAGATAGAATCTGCTTATTAGATGTTTTCTGTTTTCTTCCTCTAGCTCTATTTGGTTGGAAATCAAAGTGTACATGGAAGGTATTTCAAGAATATTGTTATGAAAGTAGGGCTGTTGGTTGAACAAAAGTGTGAGATTTTAGACTTGAAAAAAGAGATGTTTGGAAAAGCAAGGAAGCAAAATAATTTTTTTTTTTTTTAAAGTCAAGGTGATATTTTTTCTAATAAAGCACAGGTTTTGAAATTTAATTTTGGAAATGATTCAAAATTCCCCAGACTGTTTCATTTCCCTTTGCTGAACTGAACCTTTTGAGTCAGTGTGGCATTAATTTTTACTTGCTAGAACTGTTACTGAGCTTAGTAGGAAATATAGTTCAGGAAAGTCGTATGTTCCTTCTTTATGATTTAAGCTTCCTGGCTGATGGACTTATCATAAAAATCTCCTGATGTATCACATCAGTTCAACTTAATGACCAATAATGGCATAATGCGAAGGTTGCAGTTCAGCTCTGAGAGGAAGATGAGGCTGCAGCCATTGAAAGAGCATCTCTCATGAGGCAGCGTGGCAGCTTTGGTGGACACACATGACTGTCAAAATGGTAGGAAAAGGTATGATTTAACTGAGCAAACAAACACAAAATATTTCAGAATTAAATTAAATGTTTTGACAAACATTTCTTGACGTAGCACAAAAAATTCCCCAAAATAAAAACTGGAAAGAAGAAAGGAATATGAAAATAAAAAAAGGTGGGAAAAAAATCACTCGGTATGTGTATTTTCCATTGAAAGATGGAATACCAAGTCAGTTTTCTTACCAGCTGCTTATAAAGTTGCACTTCACAGTAAGGGCCCATTTTGCTGGGGCCCTGAGGGCACCAGCGGGCCTGACCCTCCCTTGGCACCGTCCCAGGGCTCCCCTGCCCTGCTCATGGCCCAGGGCACCACGTCAGCGCCCCCGGGGCTGTCAGCCCCTGCCCCAGTGACGCCACAGCCTGCCCCATCCCTGTGTCTGGCCCTCCTCCCTGGATGGGCCCCTTGGCGCCATGTCGTGGCCTTGTCTCCAGCCCCATCTCCTCCTGACTGGACCCCCTGGATGTACCCTGGCTCTAGCTCGCCCCCTTGCGCTGTCAGGGGCTGCCCGACGGACCCCAGCACCCCCGGCTGTGGGTGACAGCACCAGTTTGGTGAAGGCACAGCCAGTGCGGAGCCCACAGGTGGGGGCTTCTGCCCTCTGCCGTGTTGCCTGCAGCTCTGTAATGGTGGGACGAGCTCCAGCCTCAGCGCTGGGCACCGACACGCTCACCCGCGCAGTTGTAAACAGGGGGAAATAAACCCTGTGCCTCCTGCCATGCCCTGCCTTGCGTCACAGCAAGGCGGCGCGGCCGGCCAAGGCGGCAGCCCCCATCCAGCCTTTCGGGTTGGGACGGCGTGAAGTTTGCTCCCGTGTGTGTGTGTGTGTGTGTGTCATCGGCTGTGCCGTACTTCCTCCTGCAGGACCGGTTAAATATTAACACGGCGATACACGTATTTGGGCGGGGGGAAGGGGAGAGACAATCCTTACCTCACCATATCGCGGGGACAATGTCAGGACAGGCGTGTGCCCCGGGGCCGGGCGGCTGAGAGGCAGCAGAGGTCGGAGCTCCTGCCCGGTGGTGCCTCGGGCAGCTGCCGCCACCCCTGAGGGAGGTTTCCTGGGGTGAGAAGGCGAGGGCTGGCCTGGGGCTCCTCGCTTTGAACACCTCTGGCCTCTTCCTTCGTTCCAGGGTGCGAGAAGGGCTCGGCGTCAAAGGGAAAGCGGTTGGAGACACCCCCTCAGCTCACTGGGAAGAAATCCAGGTAACCCCTCTGCAGCCATTGTTCGCTTCCCAGCACAAGGAGCTGGCAGCTGAAAGATAATTTAACCCTCTCCCCTCCTCCTGCCACAGCAGGGAAGCCAGCGCTGGGCCGGTGGCAGTGGGGTGAGCAGGGGTGTCTTGCGACCCTCACCTCCTGCTGTGCTCCCCGGTCTTTGGGGCGGGTGTTCCTTGTGCTGTGGGGTGCCCAAAGTGTCCCAGCTGCCTCTTCTTTAGGACGATATTATTGATATTATCCGCTTGCCTCCGGCGCAGATGCGGGAGGGTGTAGGCTCAGAGCCATGCACAGCAGCGCTGGCGATGTGAGTTGCCCCACGCACCTGCAGAGAAGGTGAAAAGGAGCTCAGGCCAAACCCCAGGTATTTAATTCATCATCGGCCAAAATATCCTGTTTCATCTGGGGGTTGGGTAATATTTCCTGTTCTTTTGAAAGTCCATTTTGAAACGATGCAAAACAAAATGTTATAGATCCCTCCATTTCCCTTCTCACTTTACTTCGACCCAAGGTATTTACTGATTTTGGCTCAAATTTGGGCACAAGATCTAGCATGTTTATTCTTCTCTGTAAAACTTTGCTCCGTTCACCTTGCGTTGGTGCAGCCAGATTTGTAAGTAGAGGTATGAAGGCTGCTGCCTGGGCTGCCAGGGTCCTCTCCAGACCTGTAGTTCCTGCCTGAGATCGCAGCTTCCTGGAAAAGGACATGGCACTGGCTTTTGGATTTGTTTCCTGGTGCTTTACTTGGGCCATTTCACTTCATATGGTAGATAATGCTAACTCTTAAAAAGTACTGACTGGTTTGTGTACTTGCTGAGAGCTATTGCAGTGACAGAGCAAGGAGAACCCCCTCTGAGCCATGCCTCTTGCCCCAGCTGCCTACTGGGGACTCCTCTGCACGCTAAACATGGAAGTAAGAAAAAACCAAAACCTTTCAAAATGCACTGGGCAACCCCAAAAAGGCCTACAAACTAGCCTTCTCCCAACATGCAGGGGAAGAAATCAGCCCACAGGTTCAGCTTAAAATGTTGATGAGTTGACAGGGCTGTCCCTTAAGTTCACAAGGTAAACTGAAAGCTTGCAAAATGGGCAAGCTGCCAGCCGAGCCAGTCGGGTCGCAGCTGCTGCAGTAAACTCAGCAAGACCCTCTGCTTAAAGCACTGAGCAGTGAACAGAGCTCCGGTGAGCTTGATGCTGCAGCCAAACGTGTTTGGAAAGACAGCAAAAGTGGTTTTTATTGTTTGCAGCAGGCAGGGAAGGTCTGAGCATGGGACATTCCTTCTTACACAGGCACTCCACGAGAGGCACTGCCACCCACCGCTGTGCCGTCCCACCACTGCTGCTTTCACAAAAGCCGTGCTGGGAATTAATGCGAGATCATCACACAAAACTGCAAAATTAACTGCTTGCTTAAAGGCAGCAAAACAGCTGGGCCAGGGCATTTGTGTTTTATGCCTTGGTGTGGTTTTGGTTTTAGTGAAAGGGTGGTTAAAAGAGTGTGGTTGCTACAGGAAGCTCAGAGTGTCTCTGAGGTGATACTAATATTTATGCGTTGCACAGAGCTGCCACAAAGAACACCCCTGAAATCAAAACCACTTTCTTGACAAGAAATTCGGGCTGGCCACAAAACCACATCCTCTGGCCTGTGTCTCTTTCATGAAGGCAAGCTTCAATTTCCCAGCTGAGAAGTTTGTAAAGCAGCACAGTCAAACTCTCTCCCACATGTTTTGCGGGGGAGGAGAATAATATCACACAACTGAATCACAAACACTGGAAAAGCAGAAAATGCAGAAGTAAGGTGATGGCTCCCACCCAAGTTCTGTATCTTATCTCCGACCATGGTGGTGAGCTGGTGGTGTTTTATTTTGGGGTGTAAGAGGCACTCAGGTTTAAAGAAATAATTCTGAGGACCCTCTTTTCTGAGAGCTCAGCCTGGGGACCTGGGAGGAGATTTGGTGTTTCTCATCCTTGCCCCAAGGCAGGTGGGATGGAGAGCCCAGGGTGGCAGGAGCCATTCCTCCCAGCTGGGGTGATCCCCTGTGCGATGAAGGCCTGACGGGACTGCCACAGCAATGACGGTACCAGGCTCTCCCTGGAAATGTATAAATAGGAATCCTAGTTTTGGAGTAAAGCACGCAGGAAAACATCAAAACAAACTCTCCGGGTGTAGCGGTGCATTGGGATATATTCCCACGTCCTCTCCCATAGGCTGCCTGGCTCAGGAGGCACAGGTTTCCTGAGGCAGGGTAACAACCCCTCCGAACAGAGGTCTGTGCCCCTCCGACCCCAGGGGAGCGGCTGGTGCGTGTGCAGTTGCCCTGCATGACAGTAGGTGATGGAGGACAGGGTTGGCTAGGCTGCCAGGACACCGCCGGCGGCAGGGGCGGCGCACCCGCAGTACCCACGCAATTGCAGGCGGCTTAGAGAATTATTTTTCCCAGCTGCTCATGATTAACTTTAATGAAGCAGATGGATCTCCCCTGACACAGTCAATCCTGAAGCAGTAGTGTTGTAATAGCCAGGAGGGACTAAAGGAGTGAGAGATGCAAGGTCCGTAGGGGGAGGTTTCTCTGCTGAAGAAAGCTCCTTTACTTCTTTTGAAACCGTTGTTTTCAGAAAAGACACTGCTCTCCTTCCAAACCCTTCCTCATTTAATCTTCTCCCCTTGTTGGTAATACAGGTCACATAAAGTCACTTTTTATCACAGGACTCAAAGCAGCAGCTCACTACGGAGTTTCTTGATAAGTTCTGTCCTTCAGCTTCTTCTCAAGTATGCGGTGACCATTGGTGGCTTTCTGCCTTAGGGACCAGGAGAGAATGCTCCAATGGAGAGGTTCCAGACATTCATTTTGCTTCCTCTCATCTTAACTGCCTCACTACCAGGTAGGACATATTCATAACCCATGAAATGAGCCTCTATGGACAAAACGTGTGAACTAATTGTAAAGCCGTGTAAATGGCAGTTACTGGCAACACCAGATTGAACATTCAATTCCAGAGGGAGATTATTTAAACTGTTTGAAATAGCTAAGTTTGCATTTCAAGGCTGAATGATCTGATGTCTTAGAGTGGGCTTCAGTATGCAGGAGTGAGCAGCGGATGGGGTGGGGAGGAGATGGGGAGGCTGCCCTCTCTCACTTCCAGTGAGCAGGGATGTCCCACTTATTTCTCCCTCTCCTTGTGTTCATCTTCCTCCTGTCCTTTGGGGTCTGCTTTTGAGGGGACATCTGTAGGCAACTCAGTATCAGCAGCTGATTTTGCTTCCAGAAATATGTGCAAATTATCATTTCGCTAGTTTGCCTCCAATTTACATTTCACATGCCTGAGTTTCAAAGTGAATTCAGATAAAAGGTATCTTGGCGGCAGAGCTTTAAAGAAAATGTGAATATAAAGTGACTTAGTTGGGTAACAGAGACAGGGCTGATTTTTTTTTTTTTTTATTAATAGTCTAGCTGGGGTTTTAACAGGCTCTGAAAGGAGGGAGCAGCAGTGGGATGAAAGGGAAGGTATTGTCGTGGCTTAATAATCGGCGAAAGGAAACACAATGCAGGAATAAATGTTGAGTTTTCTGAGCAGAGCAGTGTTCCCGGTGGAGTTGCACAGGGATGTGTGGTATTCAATGAGCTCCTAAACAACCTAGTGAAGAGGAGTGAACTATGAGGTGGCAGACTTTGCAGGTGGTGCAAAATTACTTAGGGCAGCCAAATCCAAAAAGAGACTAGGAAGATTTGCCAGAAAATGTCATGATGCCAAGTGAGTAAGTAATAAAGGAGCAGAAAACGTTTGATGCAAAGCATCACTTAACTGCAGATGTCTAGTTGGGGAAAAGAGTAGGTATCTTGGAAAGCGAGTAAATTGCTGAAAAAGAGAGAAAAATTCACCACTTAGTGTCTTCAGCAAGGGAAATACAATGAAACCTAGCATTATATAAATCTGCAGAAAGCTTAGATCTTGAATATTGGATGTTTTGTAAGCCCTTCCATTTCAAAAAGGTCATAGTAAGTCTGAGCAGGGTATGAAGTGTGACAGAGGTGATCAAAGGTATGAGGAGGCCTTCATTAAAGTGGGATATTTTTCTGTGAAAAAGAAGAAATAGTAAAAACGTATTAAAATAATTAATTTTATGGAGGTGAATGGTGAAATGGTTGTTTACAATTTCTCGTAACAAAAAGAACTGGTGGCAATCAGTAAAACTATCAGAAAGAAGATTCAAGGAAAACCAAAGAATGTACTTTTCCTCACAGTGTGTAATCAAATAGTAAAGCTCATGGTCACTGGATGTGGGGGATACCAAATTATAAACAGGCTGAAAAAAGCTGGAAACAAATATCACGGAGGGTAGATGCATAGGTGCAGATGCAATCATTGGCTCAGGAGGTCCCTAGATCTTTTATTTTTGGACACTGAGAAGTTGTAGCAAGGAAAGCTCGATTTTTATTTGTTCTGTTTCTTGCACTGCCTTCCTAAGCATCCAGAGCAGAGCACTATGTGTGTTAGAGGATTTCTGTTACCCTGCACTAATGCTGTTAGTCAAGCACGCCTGCAATGGGGGTTTTATTGCCCCACCTGCAAGCCATACTGGGGTAGCAGGCGTTGCCCGCAGTGTGCAGTGCAGCCACGGGAGCACACCCCAAAGCAGAGAGAAAAAATGTATTGCGGGGAGACAAGCGTTGCTCTTGAAAGAAGTGTTGCTGCTCTCGGGATGTCGGGAGTCGCAAGGCCGGGCGGTGTGGCTCGGCTGCCGAGGTGGCTTCATGGCGCAGCCGGTTTGAGCACCCCCCTGGGCGGGCACGGCGTGCCCTTTGGCAGGGATCGCATGGCAGACCGCAGGGCTGACACGCAGCGCAGGGTCCCAGCCTGCTGCCAGGATGGTGGTGGTGGTGCTGTTGTGCTCCCAGCATGGGGTCCCTCACCGCTGGAGAGGAGACGGTGCAGGAGGAGAGGAGTAGTCCAGCAGCAAAGCCAGGAGAGGCTGCAAGGGACGGCTGTCAAACAGTGAGTAAGAGAAGAGATGGGAAGACACGCTTGGGTGCTGTGGAGAGGTTTGTGTGCAGGTGGGTGGAAATACATGCTGCTGAGTACCAGTAGACTGATATTACTTGACAGAAACATCCTATGAGTATTTTAAGTGTCTTGTTAACATAAGCAAACAAGCTAGTCCTTCTCTGCAGGCTTTGACAAGCTCTAACCTATTTTGGTTTTCAAAAAGCTCAGCTGCAGGGCTGTTGTTTTTTGAAATAAACTTGAGATGTGCTGAAGAAGTCTTAGCAAATCCAAAACAATTTATTGCGGAACTATTGCTGGAGCTGTGGGCCAGCAATGAGGCAGGGAAGGCAGAAGACAAAGTGGGGTGAGAGAAAGACTAAAGAAAGAGTGAAAAGAAAAAGGAATGAAAATCGAAATGTAGACATGCAAACAGAAATAGCAGAGAAGGAAGGGAGGAAGTCAGAGACTAGACTCAAAAACTGAAGAATAAAAGGCGGTGTTTTTGGAAGCGTGATACTGGTATAGAGGGGGAGATTATTTTGAAATACGATAATGAGGCTGAGAAAAAAAAGGAGTCATTTTGGCAAAAGGATAAGCCCGTCCTGTCCTTCACTGTGCTACATCCAAATAGGTCACTTACAAAAGAGGAAAGACAGAGTCAGCAGAGGAGAGGAGGGAAGGAAAAGAAGGTAGCCACGTCTCAATGCCCTTGTTGCTGAAGCCTTCAGCATGAGAGAGTGGTTCTTTAGAGTTAGTTCAAGCGTGGAAGAAAAAAATGTTGGTGACGAAGGGCAAGGGCAGTTCTTTAGCAAATGAGGTTCCCTCAGTGCAGGCGTCATCCAGGGAAGGAGATGCACTTTCGGTTCTTCGAAGCCCGCAGTGATGTGACAGTGAATTTGTGTGACAGTGGAGGGAATAAACAGCTCATAAAGGAGTTGGTGTATATTCTGCATGCTGTTGGGAACGACAGAGCAACTGAAATGTCATAAATACTTATCAGTTTAAGCAAATTTTCACCACTGATGACTGCTTTATAGACATTTAATGATGTGCCTCAAAGAAGATGTTCTAACTCATCTTTGTTCTTCAAAAGTCAAGGGGTAATGAAATATCGTGAAGACAGCCTAATGCTTCCCTACTGCTAAGATGGTATTTGCGTGGGTGGGATTTCTTATTGGTTGTGTGTGGGGAAGCAGATGACAAACCAGCTGTTAAGAGCTGAAACAAGTAATTTGTGTAAAGTGCAATGACAATCTAGCCTGAGGCCTTAATTTGTCTAAAAGCAACCATCTGCAAGATATTTTTTCAAGCAGTATGTAAATGACACTAGCACTAAAATTTTCCTCTTAGTGCAAGAAGCAAGGTCCAGCAAAAGGGCTTGAGCGCTGTCTTAAGGCACTGGTAACTGGGTTTAGATCCCGTTTCTGTCATGAATGTCCTCTTTGACCTTACACAAGCTACTTTATCAGTGTTTGTATGTGGGTGGGATGATGGAACGCACTGTTGGTTCAGGACTCCACGTGCTATTGCAGGATAAAAACTAAAAGCAAAAAAAGATAAAGAGGCAAAGTTAAAACCACCAAAAATGTTTTGGCAGCAGGTGGAGAAGGCTCGTGAAGCTCCTATTTTGATTGTGTTGGGGCTTTACTGATGTCTAAATGGAGTCAAGGTTGCGCTATGTACTCCTTAGTCCTCCTGCCATCCCTAGGATCCCCATACAGGGCTTATGGACCTGTTCCCTAGCTCACAGAAGTCAGTGAAGGACTATCTATTGCTCCAGCAGATATGGCTGGTGGAAGAAGATGTAGATCCTACAATATCTATGGACAGACAAAAAATTACATTATTAGATTATATTAGATAAATGAAGGAGTGACTCATACCTACCTGCCTGTACTGTCCTGACTGCTTGAAGACAAGAAAACCAATATTAGCCATGTATTTTTAGAGCAAATGATCACTGATTATTCGTATTTAGGGATAAATTTCAAGACTATAATGGAACTCACAGACATGATCTCATAGCAAAAGATTAATTAACAGCTAGCAGTGTACTGACTAGCGATGAAAGTTGCATCATTTATTCAGAGCTACAGCAAACCACAGCTCCTTAAAAAAGTAAAGTGTTTGCACAGGCATGGAAATAAATTAAAAATGCACAGACATCAGTTTGCACTGAGAGGAGCAGTGTGGATAAGTACTGCAGCTTCTGTTTCATGAGCAACTAAATGCATTTTGGTGTTAACTCTAAGGAATTTTGTTCATGGCTGTGTCTATCATCACAATAGCTGTTTATGTCCACTTCAACCAGTCAGGAAGACTTTCAAACAAAGTGTAAAAATCAAAAACTCAGCACATGAACATGTTATAGACACTATAGATGTACAAGGAGTAGTATTGTAACAGCTGGTTATGATGTGAGTCAAGAAAAAGTAGATAATTCAAAGACACATTTGAGCTTAGGACAGTGTCTCAACCTGATAAGTTATGGATAGAAATTATGTCAACTGGATGTTGAATATCAGGGAAAAGGGCTGTATTTTGTAACAAAAGGTCTCATTGGAATGCATTTAATCAGTTCACATTCATTAGGGAAACCATAATTCTGTAAATGATGCTATCCACAGACATGTGGCCAATCCCTAACATTCAGAAAGTGACAAATAGAAAAGAGAGGAAATGGCTTTTATGCATTTTGTTGGGTTAACTCTTTGTGAAACAACACATTAAAGTATGCATATAAGTTCGATTGCCGAGTTCATCTTCAAGTTGTTTCATGTTTTAAAGCATTTTAGTTCACCTTTACAAGTCTGAGGACAGCTTTGAATAAATGCTACTGGAAAAAATGAGACGTTTAAGTAGAACAGAAATATGTTTTACTGTACCTTATCTGGCTTTACTTACTATCAGTAGAAGTGAAGTTTGCTTTTCATTTAGTGTTTTATTGCTCACACAAAGATATACTTTGGAGAATGAGGTGCATGGTAGAGGTAACATAACCCAGGAACGTGGAAAATTTTTGTAAAGGTTTTTGTAAACATGGGAGAACTCAGAGTCAATCATACAAAGAACAAGGGAGAGCTAGGTTTGTATAATCCTGCAAAACAAAGAATGAAAAAGCTCTTGTCTGTAAATACATGCGGCGAGTGGGAGGAAAAAGAGGAGCTATTTATATTAAAGAACAATTCTTGGCACAAACCTGGTTAGATATACACTGCCTAGGATTAAATGTGAGCTGGGAATTAGAAAATGATGTTGACATTGGAGCAATGAGGTTACAGACCCTATGCCCTGGGTGCGTTCACCAAGGCTTTGGTTGTAACGTCATAACTGAGATTGGTCTCTGGTTCCATTTATTCAACTATCAAGCATCTCTTTTGTGTGAAACAATACAGCATATTCTCCCCTACTCACATCAGCTATTGACTGAATGAAGAATGAAATTTTCAATAATTTGTAGTTAATCCATTAATGAATAAACTACCTAAAAGGTACAAAACATGGGTTGAATGAAACCTTTAAAAATCACTTCAATGCCCTGCATACTCTAAGCTAGGGAGTAATGGCCATTTCAGACCTTCTTTCTCCTGGAAAATAATTGAACACTTATTCTCAGGCCAAATTTACAGACATGGGGTTTTAATTAGATAGCTATGGACTGTAGTATCTAATTGCTGTAATTACGCAGACTACAGCTTGAATTGTTAGGGGTAGCAGTGGCAGTCTTGGTGCTTCCTCAGCATGAATGTTTCCTCATAAGTGATGAAAAACTCGCTGGTGAGGTAGATCTTACTGGCAGGACTGCTTGGTCTGCAGGGAGCTTGTGGAATATCCATCCTTGGAGATATTAGAATTTTGACTTGACAAGGCGCTGTGCAAATGGCCTAACTGTGAAGTCAGCTCTGCTCGGAGCAGAGGGTAGGGTTAGAGATTTCCTGAAGTTCCTTGCCACTGAAACCTTTCAACGCCCCCCATCAAAGACCACCTCCGTCACAGTGAGGTGCAGGTGAGCACTAGGCCAAAAGGGAGCAGACCTGAGCTCAGAGGCAGGTGAAGGGCTGATGGCAGGAGTGGAGGATGAGGAAGGGCTGTGCAAGGTGGGATGCAGGCAGAGCATGGGCAGTCACCTGAGATGAACCTCGGTGACAGCAGGGCCTGCAATGGCGGCAGTCCTCGCCCTCCTCCTCCACTCCACCTGCAGCCAGCAGGGCTGTATGTGGCAGTGACTTAGGAAAGTGACTGGCTTATGAGAGCGTACAATTTTGGGCTCCCCGATACAGGAAAGACATTGGTGAGCTGCGCTCTCAAGTCCTGTTCCCTAAGGCACCAACTAAACAATCTGGGGTGTTCTTACGGTGTGAAGGTTTGTCCCTCATGAAGACTAGGGTATACGATGTTCTCTCTCTGAGCAATGCTTCAAGATTTGTCCACCTTCAAAATGGCACTGTTTTCCCTGGCTATTTCAGGGCATGAAGTCACAGCTGCTGCTTTGAAAAAGAGGGTCTCTGCCTTCGTTCTTCCTCCACTTTCTGCTTGGTAGAAGTGAATGCTTCTGCCTTCCCACACACAGGGGATCCACCATCTGCCTGGGCAACAGCTGCACCTTCATTCCTCTGAGGACAAAGGGAGGCCCTGGGTCTGTTGAGGAGGAAGGGAAAACAAAATGCCTTCATTAGGAAGGAGCTTTCAGTCCTGAGGAATAGTAGTCAAAATTCATACTACCTTTTAAGGAAGAAAAACTCATGAATTACAGCAGCTGTGGTTAACAGAAAGCCTGAGAAGGTGGGTAAGTACAATGTGACACATGCATGAGAAATAAGGGAAGAGGCAGATGAATAGGGGAAAGAGCATAGAAGGATATATACTGGGGCTGCAAAAAATCAGTGGCAATATGAGGTATAGAAAAGGGACCATTTACATACTCCTTTATTTATTTAAAGTCTAGAGAACTCATGTATCTTCCTACTTAAAAGTGCAACTTTTTTCTTTTGGCAAAACAGTAAGTCAGCTTTTTAGTGAATCACTGAAGAGAGACAAGTGATTTTGGAGTGGGAGGAGGAGAGACAAAAAATCAAATGCATCTTTAAAGAAAACCATTTAATCTGAGTTGGAGCTGGAAGATTAGATTGTAAATCTCCATCTGAACTGGTTCAGATCTTTTAAACTATATAAACATGTACTTCTTGGGTTTGTAATGATTGGCTTGGGGATCCATTGTAACAGAGTATTTGACCACTGCTTACTGCTATGGGATTAACATTACTCAGTTGTAATTTCAACTAACCATACATGTCTTTAACTGCTTACTGACAGGCATTATAGAAAATGAGACAAGAATCTTTTCCTGAAAGTACCAGATATTGATGGCTGTCAGGGGTGAAGTGCCAGCTCAGCTAAATCAATGGCCTTTCCTGATAGGTGGCTAAGTGCTTAATACCCCAGTGCTCCTAGTGAATAATTCTGTCTGAACCAGGGGCACCTGGCTTTTTAGCCTTAAATTGGTGTCAGTAAAACGTAAGCCAAAAGCCTGTGGTGGTACTGTTGTATACGTATTTACAGATTGTGGGTTTTTTTTCTTCTTTCTAGGTCTTGGCTTTTGTTACTCTATTATAAATGGCCCTACTAATGCAACAGTCCTTGCTGGTTCAGAAGCCCGGTTTAATTGCACTGTGTCAGTAGGATGGGTAATTCTAATTTGGCTGTCCAATGGAAATCCTGTCCTCACTGTCATCAATTCTCAAGGAGCCGTTGAGACATCAGACCGCTTCACCTCTCAAAATTATACCAGTAGCAATGGTTTTACCTCGGAGCTGATCATCCGCAACACCCAGCTGAGTGACTCTGGAAAAATTGAATGCAGCACCCAGCAAACTAGTGAGAGCAGCTTTGCATTTCTTTCTGTTCAAGGTGTGTATAGCCACCAATAGAAAGCTATTTTACTATACTGCACTTTAAGAATCCTCTGCTGAATTGCTCAAATTATCCTTGTGAAGGAGTACATGCTCTCATTTACCATCCTTTGCCTCCTGTGTTCCTTATCTCAATTTTACTGTCAAAGCAGGTTTCAGAGTCAAATTCAGAGTGCCATTAACAAAGGTTATAACTGCCCTTGTTTTTTCCTGTTACATCTCTTATTCTTTATTGGATTGCATCAAAGTGCCTGAAGGCTATATCAGGCCCACCAGCAGTCAGTTAAAAATTACCTTTTGGCTAGAAAGAGTATGGGTTACCCCTACACTTATCTTTGTACATGAACCTTCTGCTGTCTTTAGGGCAGATCTCCCTCTTGCTTTCTGACTCAGGAATCAATCTGTATCCAGCTTATATGAGTTTGATTTAATGGTACATAGAAGTAAAGCCCTTGAGGCACAAGGTGATACGCTTGATATTGCTGCTGCAAGCTACCATTTCCAAGGAACAAAAAGGTCCTGCGTATCAAGCCCCTGTATATGAGACTTCTTTCTCTTCTCTGAAGCACCAGTACTGACAAAGTGCAGCCACTAAAGCAAGATCTAACCACCAGACACTATCAGTTTGTCAGAGAGGTGCTTCAGGCAACGAGAACATCTCATCATCTACCCATAAACCTTTCCTGATAAAACCTGAGCATACTTAAAACTTAGAGAGAAACCCTGTTATTTCATTATGTTGCCCTTCAGCTGGAAATATATCAGGATGGCTAAAAAGTATAATTTCCTGCTTTTTATTGGAAAGGTACTGAAAGCTGACACTTGTGCTTTAGACATACTGGACAATGTGTCCGTGAAGTTGCAGTATCTGCATATTTATATCATGCATATGGTAGATCTGTGTTAATAATGATTGTTTTTTACTTCATATCTCAAGGCATGGCTATTTCTGGGTAGCAAGATAAGATTTAAAACTATCAGCAGG